AACCTGAAAGACCTGGTTAGCAATATCAATCATTATGATGGGGAACGGACAATCCAAAATGTGAAACTGTTTCACCCTTCCAATTACACGCTCAACAATTACTTTGGAACTAGCTACCCAGCAGCTTTCTGAAAGAAGGAATGTGCACCTGCACCCCTGGTGGCATGTTATTAAGCTTGAAACCCTTATCCACCACAATGGCGTCATCTGGCTCCAATAGCCCCAACAATCCACTCTCCTCTACAATCAGCCTGTCTGAAATTGACCCTCCCCACAACTTAAAACATATGAAATGTAGCCATCAGCAGTACAGCCAATGACCACCTTATAGCTATTAAAGTGCTAGTAAGGTGAGAAACACAGCCACAACATATGCAAAACAGTGAGCCTGTCACCACAGGTGGATCTTCTCCCGAAAGAAGATACCTACGAGTTATAAATGAGTGTCTGATTCTCAGGCGGCACAACGTTTCGTGGAGTCGGCTCTTGCATGAAGAGCTGTCCCAAACAGGGCAGACCGACGAGACGACGGAGCACCTGGTGCTGCAGTGTGAGCACCTTGCACCGGTCCCTAGTATGACGATGCTACCACAGCACCGGGGTCGCGGATCGGTGAAGAGCAAGAGGAAGAACAAAAGGACATTTAATTGGCGGTAGAGGTGATGAAAAGGCGGCTGGAGGTCTGGTGAAGAGACACATCGGCGGAGAGAGTGCAGCCGACCAACAGAACACCAACCAGAAGCACAAGTGGCAGGAGGTGCGACTGACTATGCTAGATCCAGTATCCATTACTGGTGATCACCCGATGCAAAAGGGAAAGCCGCAGACTCCAGTCCAATCGGTATGGCCTGTTCCGTGTAGTCGGCCGGTTTTTGCGCGGTTTGGCAGCCTCACATATTTTTTTTCTGTTGTTTTAATCACTTTACGTGTTGTCTGAAGCCACTTACTCGACAAACGAGTCGCTCTAGTGTATTTAGGCAGCGCGATTGGGAACAAGATGCCGTCGTCGAAAGAGCGCAGTGTGCCGCTTTGTGGAGTCCATTTCGACGAGGTCGTTGGCCGCATAAAAGCCAGATATGTAAAGAAGTTGGAACTTTGTGACAGTAAAGATCCGTAACAGCTGTATGTCGGTGCCGACACGACGACCGACGCTGGTGTTTTCCCCAACATGACACAAAGAGACATTGTGAACTACCTGGTGTTCTCCGTCAGCTACGCGACTCTTTAGGAGATGAAGGCGTTCAAGCCCCTTGAACCCCAATTACTTCACCAGTGGTTGGATGAAAGGTCCCTCGGCACGTGGAATAAGCGGCGGCAGGACCCTTTTACTCTGCGAGGTACGTACGCGACACACGCTACCGTTGTTTTCTTACCTTGGCTCCATCAACGTACGCTTGTTCGACGCCCAAAACTTACCGCTATGTACAAGTGCAAGGAAGAGACGTTTGAGGCCTGCAGCAAACAGCAGTGAGCGCTGAATTGAAAAATGAAGTTCCAGTGAGTACATCTGAATTAATTGAAAGAGAAAGAAATCGAGGGGAAGAGATTTCAGCTGGTATGAGGAATGAAATCAATCTAATTTTTCTTTTTTGAAAATGCTTATCTAAAACATTATCCCTCCATTTGTTGGCCCTGCTTAACCCTATGCATAATTGTGTTCTTAATCTGCATTATGTGCTTCCGTCATTTCAAGTCAACCACTCCAAAAGGCTAAGGGAGACTCCAGCCAAGGTCTGGATACTAGTGCACGAGGATGGCAGCATCATTACTGCCCACTGCACTTGTTTGGCTGGAGCCGGAGAAGCCTGCATGCATGTTGGTGCCACACACTTCGCTCTCGAGACAACTGTGAGAGTCAAAGACTCGTCAACCTGCACTTAGAAAGAAAACAGGTGGCTGCCTGCCTACACGTCAACCGTGGAGTACAAGAGGTTCAGAGAGATCAACTTCTCGGGTAGGAGCAAGAAGAAACGGCTTCAAGGTTGCAGTGAGGAAGAGGTTGTTGTGAGCATGAGACTCCCCATCCCGGAACCATCTGAGGATAAATTTAGAAGGCTCTATGACATATGTTCTGCTGCTGAACGAAAACCAGCAGTGATGATGATGGCCGAGGGACGAAACAATGCGTTTCCCGCTCCACAAGCAGGGGAGCCAAGCACACTTCGAGGAATCTTTACTCAAGGAGCCCTCTCCGAAACCCTGGACAAGCTGATTGAAATTTGGGAGGATGCATTTTTCGCCTCGTTTTCTGTTAGTGCTGCAATGGTTAAGTTCGCTGAAGCAACAACAGGAGCCCACTTCAAGTGCCCCAAATCGTACACCTACCGGGTGGGGAGAATCACTGCGTCCACAATGAAGTCGGCGAGCTTCACTAGCATAAAAAAACCGTCCCTCAGCGTGCTGAAGTGCATTTGTTACCCCAAAGCCAGCAAGTTTTCAATGCCTGCAACAAGATGGGGAGTGGACCATGAAGAGGAGGCAGTTCACAGCTACGTGTGCAAGGTCAAAAGTGCCCATGCTAATTGCACGTACCACACGGCTGGGCTGTACCTAAGTACACAGTATCCTCACATTGCAGCCAGCCCAGAAGATGAACTCGGAAGACTCTATGACATATATGTTTATCCAGCTGCGTTCTACCGTAAAATACTGCGGAAGCGCCCATTACCGGACAAGCGCCCACTATTAAGATTACCAGAACTTCGAAATAGTGCAAAGTACATGTTAAGCACCCACCCTCTCGGAAACGCTGACGGCACACGCGGCGACCACCAGCGGGGCGGGGATGTCCACTTTCTTGCAGTGGAAAGGAGGAAACTAGTGGACACGAGGAAGTGAACTTTATTATCTAGGTCACCCAGGCACTGTGTGAGGTTTAAACAACACTGGAGATGTTGAACTGATAGCAATGTCAGGACCAATAGGAGCGCATTTAACGCAGATGGACCCCAAAGACAAACCCACTTAGCAGCGGAGCTTTTGTTAGAAAAAGCTTGGATAAACGCTTCCGATTTCGACTCACTGCCGCTGGACCCTCACTCCTCGTGCGGCAAGCAAGTGGATATTTACCATGCATTCGTACACGATATCCAGGAAGGTTGAAGTCATCAACTGGCATCGGGCAAGAACGTGAGTCGCACCTATCGACACTTCAAAATCGATCGTAAACGCATCCGCGAGTGAAACGCGAAGTATGACACGCTGAAGCATAAGGATTACGGCAAACAGAAGATGAAGCAGAAGCTGACTGACGGTGGTCCAGACTTTAGTGAAGAGTTAGACGACGCGCTCTTTGAGTACCTGCAGACTGAGCGAGATGCCGGCTATGCCGCAAGTAACCGGCTTCTAGCAAAAGAAGCGCTCCGCATTGCTGTAAACCTCAACCTCGGAAACTTCCAAGGCGCATAGGCAATATATCAAGCATTGGAAAAAGCGGTTTGGGGCAACTATGCGCATGTCGACCAACGATAGTCACAAAGCCCCTGCCGACTGTGCGAAGCCGTCAATGTGTTTCGCACCAGGATTACAAGCTTGCGAACGTGCCACGCCTACACACCTTACAACATTGCCAACATGGATCAAACGATGGTGTGCATGGATAACCCAGCGACGCATACCAACAATGTGGCAAGAGAAAGCAGTATTCAGATTGCTAACACAGGCTGCGCCCGTCGCGGTTTCATGGTGGCCCTGGCAGCACGAGCATCGGGTTCGAAACTTCCAGCATTTGTCGTCCTAAAGGAATCTACCGGGAGGATTCCTCCACGGGCATACATGGGCCTTCGGATACCAGGTATGAATGTTTAGCTATCATAGTTTGGGGTACTGTTTCGTTGTGGTCGTGGGTGACGCATGACGCTTGCGAGTGCTTCCCGTAAAATACCGCGTAATCGCCCCCCCTCGTGTAAGCGCCCCCTCCCTTTTTCCGCACATTTCGCATTTCCGTAAACTATCAAGTAAGCGCCCCCCCCCCCCCTCCCCCCTTTTTCCGCTGCCGGTGGCCCCGAAAAAAATTTCGTTCTGGAAGTTTTGTTTTTATGTGTAGCCAGGGATCCAATCCAATCCAAAAGTAAACGTGAACCACGTGAACCTTTTGTTCGCCATTTTGTTGTTTGACGGCGCAGGAACCAGTCGCGTTACTGTGTGCGCTATGCACTCGTACACTGTGCAAAAGAAGATAGAGGTCGTCCAGTGGCACAGGCTGAATGGCAAGAACGTGCATCGGACATCGCGTCAGTTCAAGCTTGATCGCAAGAGAATCTGTGAATGGGACAAGAAGTATGAGGTGCTTCTTCAACAGAACTTCGGAAAGTCGAAGTTACAACGCAAGTTGGGAAACGGAGCCCCCGTTTTCAGCGAGGAAGTGGACGACGCGCTTTTTGAATTTCTTGAGTGCGAAAGAAGTGCTGGACGCGCCGTCAGCAACAGGCTCCTTTCTGAAGAAGCTGTGAGGCTAGCAAATAACCTACAGCTGAACAATTTTGTGGCCTCCAGTATGTATTTAAAAAGGTGGAAGGCGCGGTTCGGTGTTTCAATGCGGCAAGTAACTAATGAGAGCCAAAAAGTGCCCGAAGACTGCGCGGAGGAGACACAAGAATTCCGTGCTGCAATCGGCTCTCTGCGAAGTCGCCACAACCTGACTCTATTCAACATAGCGAATATGGATCAAACAATGGTCCGAATGGACACTCCGCGAACCGGACCAACAACCTCGTGGGAGAAAGTACTGTCCGGATTACAAACACCGGCTGTGCCAGGCGGGGTTTCACGGTTGCCTTAGCAGCCTGCGGCTCTGGTCACAAGCTCCCAGCGTTTATCATCTTGAAGGTGCCGAGCGGAAAAATTCCAGCGAGGGCCTTCATGAGCCTTCGTGTACCAGGTGAGAACATTTCGCTTGCTATTTTGCCACCGAGAGAAATAGTATAATGCATTATGAGCTCGCGTTAAATACAATGTCTTTTTTTTTTGTTTCATCTTTAGCGAATTGCCGCGTGACCGCTTCTAAAAATGGCTGGATGACTTCGGAGTTCAAGGAGTGGCTGACCAAGGTATGGGGCTCCAACACTGACGACGTATGGCGGCTCCTGGTGTTGGACCAGGCGCCAATACACAAGACCCAAGCGGCAAAAGATGCAATTCAGGAATGCGACACTGACATCGTGTACGTGCCAGCCGGTTGCACCAGCCTTCTTCAACCTGCCGACATCTTTTGGAACAAGCCGTTTAAGGCCAATCTTCGGAGAACCAGGGAGGCCTTTATGCGGAAGGGAGAGAAAACGCCGAAGGGAAACCTGCGGAAACCATCACGGCAGGATGTGCTGGACTTTGTGGCTGAGGCGTGGGCTGCCGTCCCAGAGGAAACTGTAGAGCGTTCGTTCAAGGGCAGCGGCATTACGAACGCGCTAGACGGGTCCGAGGACGGTGAGCTGCACGATCGGCTCGCTGACACCGGCGCCGTGGTCCCGGAAGACCGCGACGAGCTGAGGGATGAGTGTGTGGACCTGGTTTTTGGGTCAGATTCTGAGGAATCCTTCGATGGTCTCGACAGCGAATAAAAGGATAAAGTTCGCAAGGAAACTGTCTACGGAAATCATTTTTGCTAAGACTGCAGTCTAGATTGCATACTTTTAGTGGCCGCCATTTTCTTTATCCGCCATCTTGAATATTGGTGCGGAACTGAGGAAGGGCCCCCCCCCATATTTTGGTTGAATTATCTCTTGAGTTGGGGGGGGGCGCTTTCTCGGTATTTTACGGTAGATAGCCTAGATCGAAGAGAGGGAGCAACTCAAACGATGGAGAGCGATTGCAATTTAATGACGGACGTCTCCTGCGCAGATTGGCTGCAAGTTCGCATGCGTCGCGTTGTCGTGTGGCGATGAGAAAAGCGGGCAGAGATCCACACTTCCAACATCTCGCAGCTCCTATTGCAGACGCGCCCCGTAAACGATCCGACTCCGATCGAGCAGTTGGAAGCACTACAATCTAGGCACACTGAGTGCCTCACTGGTGCAGCGACTCTAGCGACTCGAGCTATCAAATATTAGAATCTGCCCACCCTTGAGTCGTGAAGACGATATGACTCGCGTTCGTTCGGCAGCAGTTTCCAGAGCTCACTCATGACGTAACCGTAACGCTCATGACGCAGTGAATCGCTAACTGCAAGATTCATTTTTATGTTAATCTATTTTTGTTTCTGCAGCGAATGTTCACTTAACATCATCAAAAAACGGGTGGATGACGACCAAGAAGTGTCTCGAGTGGCTTAGCCGTGTCTGGGGTCCCGACACCGACAATACTCACCGTTTGCTGGTGATTGATAAAGCGCCGATCCACAAGACCAAGGCCATTGTGGACGCAGCTGAAGCGGCTGACAAAGACATTGCATATATTCCAGGAGGGTGCAGAGGAATTCTTCAACCCTCAGATGTCTACTGGAACAAGTCCTTCAAGGGCTCCTTCTGCTCATCAAGGGCGGAGTTTATGAGGAAGGTTGAGAAAACGGCAAAAGGCAACCTCAAGAAGCCTTCAAGGCAGGACGTTTTGAACTTTGTGTCGGCAGCTTGGGCTGCAGTACCTGAAGAGGTTATCACCCGTTCATTTAAGGGGTGCAGCATCAGCGGCGCGCTTGATGGCAGCGAGGACAGACACCTGCACGACCGCCTTGCGGGCATTAGCGAGCCCGCGATCGCAATCCCCTCGAGTCGCGACAGCGTCAACGACGAAGGCGTCAACCTGCTCTTTTGCAGTGACTTGGAAGATTCATTCTCTGGATTCAGCGAGGACGAGTAAGTGTCAAGTCAGTGGCCATTTATAGTTAGAAAATAAACAAGTCAGCATGGTTTCTATGGTTCCGTTTGCATGCATACCACCGCACGGCTCTTCGCGAGCCGCCATCTTGGTTTTTAGCGCCTGGGGGCTATGTTGCACGTTTTGTACTTCGACGACGACTAGAGAGAAGGAAGTGACATAGGTGTGAATGAACGTATCTTAGCAACACCACGCATCGCGGAAACTCACCTTCTGACGCCGTGACGACATCGCAGTAATTAACTACGACACACTTCCGATGCACGGCCGTGAAGACACGAAGCCAAACGAGCGAACCAAGCCGACTCTTGTACTTGCATTGAGCCGACAGTAGCCAAGGGAGTGCGACGCTCACCGTCACATATAATGTATTTTACAGAGCGTCGTAAATAAAAAAAACTTTGAATGCTGATGAAATTAGAATGTTTTTCTTTAGTTGGACTGAAAAGAAAAGTGAAACCGAAGTTGTGTGATGTAAAAGCTGCCAGCAACAATTGCGGAATGGGGACGCGCGCGTTTTTCGAAAACTGATAGCAGACAATTTACCGCCTCAATCATGTCTGTCATGCCTGATCAGGCAAGCGAGAGAGAGCCCTGCGAGCCAGTCAATTCATTACAAAAGGAAGAAATGGACAATCTCATGTTCCAACATCGCGATCTGGCTCGTGGGGCCTCTGACCTCTCGCCTAACCTGACCAGAGATGACAAGGCAAGGTTATGGGCCAAATTGACCTGCCGCATGAACCACCTCGGGCCGCCGCGCAGCACCGAGCGGTGGAAGGTTTGGCTGAACCGCGTGTGCAAAGCCTGCAAGCGGTGCGCAGTCGTCGATGCTGAGAGGTAAGCTAGGCCAGTAGATAAATACTCCGGACAGAGTTAGATATATATTTTGTATTCACAACCGCAAAACGGGGGGAGGCTCCTCCCGGGCGCGACTCTCATCGACCAACTCCCGCATCCCGTGCATTGTCGGGTTGGACTCTGCCCTGGGCGCCCCCGGGTTTCGTGTACCCTACTTTCCAGAGGAGGAGGTATGTAGTTGACAGGGAAAAGCACAACAATCTACATGTATTGCTTATTTCTGCAGAGTTCCAGGAGGTGGGGCAAGTGTACGAAGTGAACGCTTAAATCTGTATTTAAAATTAATGGAAGCATTGCATTAAAATTTCAATGAACTTACGTGAAAGAGAAGTGAAGAAAGCAGGATTGGCACTTAGTTACCTACGTGGGTTCAGCTTTCTGAACATTTGTTGATAGTTTTATTGGTGGGTTACAATAGTCATTGTTCAAAGTGATAAATATAAGCAACAAATGGTTAATTTATTTATCGGTCCCTTTCAAAATACCGCCAACTCTAGGGTGTACAGAGGGCAAATTGACTTGTCCCTGTACAGGCTAACCCTGAAAGGACTGCACGTGTGATAACTACCTATTAAAAACTACGGGACGTGTATGTAAATAGTTCCTGGGCTCAGGGCCATATCCAGGAGAGGAGGAGGAGTCTGAGCTTCAAAATTCATCCTGGACTGCCAAATATTTTTCCTGGGTTCGGCCCCGACTTTGCTTAGACCTAGAAGCATTGATGAGAGCTGTAGTAAGGTGGTTAGTTTACATAAAAGGTGATTGAAATGACATGTAAATGGGAGTGGTACATCCTAGCGTCAGCCACAGCACTACCAGCTACATTCAGCTGCTGCAATGAACCATCTACTTATCTGTTTTTCCCGATAGTATGCAACATATACCACTCTTACAGGGTAATACGCACACGACAGGGAGCAGCTAGTTGCCTGGCGCTCAAAAGAGGTTTACCACAAGTCATTCATTTGCAGTATTGTTTTTACAGCAAACTACAAAAGTTACTACAGGGGCAAACCTGTGTAGAATCTAAAGCTGCAGCATAGCTCCATCTCATTCCATAAAAACACATAAGAGATTGCACATCTTACAGTGCATTATGTTTTCCTGCAGAAATGCCACAGCCTCGAGCACGGCAAGCCACGGTTCGACCAAGGCTGCCTCGTCTAGTCCCTCGAGTCTCTCGACAGGAGCGGCGGGACGAGGCGACCTTTTTGGCCGTGGCTAACCAACAGCGCCTGCTCGACGCCAACGTAGGCCGCGACTCAAAGGACGAAAGATTCCAGGGACAGGTAATATGTTGACAAATCCCTGAAGCACAGTAACATGATTAAACACAGGCTTATTTCACACATAAGCTATCAATAGTTGGTGTCAGCAAAGTCTTTGTAACCTGTATGAGATGTTGGAAGTCAAGAAATCTGCAAATCATGTTTCAGATCACGCTCGGGATGAGCAGCTCCTGGAGCGGTTGGACCAGCTGGCGCAGAACGTGGGGCAGCAGACGCAGAGCATGGACCGGATCGTACAGAATATCAAGGAGGGTGTCCTCTCCATGCAGGAAAATGCTGCCTTCAGGCGAGAGGTGATCCTCCTGCTATCCAGCAATGCTCTGCGTCAGCCTCAGCCCCAGGCCCAGCCCCAGCTCCAGGCCGAGCACCTGGCCCAACAACCTCCAGAGGATGACAACTGAGTGTGAACTACTTCCCCTTTTTTTTTATAACATCCAAGGGGATTTTTTTTATTTTGTATACAGTGCAGTCCACTTATAACGATATTGAGAAAACCGCAAAATCCAATCGTTATAGCCGATTATCGTTATATCTGGATCAAATCAAATCTAAAAAAATAGCGATCAAATCTAAAAAATTTGATCGCTATAAGCGATATATCGTTATATCTGGTATCGTTATAAGTGGATTACACTGTATATTAATTTAATGATAATGCTTCAAGTGGCTGCAATAAAATCTTTCACGACCTGTCGACCTATGTTCTCTGGCGAATGTTGTTATCTGTATATATTGTTCTATATGACAGTGCCTGAAGTGGCCGCAGCAACGCCTTTCGTGAACTGTCAACTTATATTCCCTGGAGATTGTTGTTATTTGTATACACGTTTGTAAGTGGCTCTCCGGCTTAACCTCGGACTGCGCGAGCCTTGTTGAAGCAAACTCACTCTCCAACCAGCTGTTCTCTGCTTCTCCTGCAATGTTGCCAGGTGAAGTGACGTCTCCCTCTAGTCGTGCACGGCCGATTCGCCATTGCGGGGACATTACACTCACCTGGCAACATTGTAAATCTCACGCGGTTCTTGAAAGCATTGTTGGTGTTGTTGGGTCATGGTGTTTTCACATATTTTGCATCTTGAGTTCATTTGGTTTGTGTCTCCGCTTTCCGAGTTCGCGCATGGATAGAAATAAGCGTTTTCGATCCTCTGGTAAGCATTGTGCGGTGTTACACTGTACAAACAACAGCCGCAAGCGAAACCACGAGCGAACATCAACTGCTAACGGGGAAGAACTCAAGTTTCACCGCTTTCCTGTCGATAAAGATGGAAAAGAAAGTGGCTCTCCGCGGTGAATCGGGCGAACTTCACGCCAACAGTGAACTCACGAGTAAGTTAAGCGTTTTTGTTGCTTTGGCGACATCTGACACGTTCCCAACTGCACAGGTGTGTTCGGCACATTTCGTAGGCGGCAGGAAGACAGACGAAAATAGCGTCCCGCAGTTAGACCTGGGGTATGCGAGAAAGGTAAATATTAGCATAATCGCGATAGAAAAGCTAATGGCTTGTGGGTCTGACAGGTGGTCTTTGGGAGGCGCCGTTTGGCGCGTGATGTCAGTGACCAGGTGCCGACTACCAAGGTGGGTATATTTACAAAGAAACACGCATATTTCCTCGATTTTCTGTGACAACCTTAATCAAACTCACTCTGGCGGTCTCTGTTACAGAAGAAAAAGTTGCCCTCCAAAGCCACTACCTCTGCTTCTGTGAGTTGACTTTGCAGAAACAAAAAGTTATGTTCTGCAATGGCATTGTAGTTGTACACTGAATAAGATCATATTTGTTCCAGAATTCGAGTTTGGCACTCGTGGGGCACAATTATTCTTTAGCACAACAACCTTCTCCTCCTGAGCACACAGTAAGTTCTAATAAAGGTGTTTAGACAGGGAGTTCTGACTTGGTCATGAAAATGCACCTGCTGTTTTGAGCACTATCAGATTTACTCGGTCTTGAAAAGGTCTGAATTTATTACAGACTACAGACTCCTTGAGTTAGGCGTTGCGTCGTTGCAACCTGTGTCCAAGCATGTGGTAAGTTTGTTGAGAATAAAGAGTGTTATGACAAGCTCTGCGACTTGATTTGATGTTTCAAGCAGTATTTCATTGACTCGGTCTTCAATTTGTTTCAGACCACACATTCCATGCAGTTCACTGATGACACCGAGTTGGGCGCCGAGCCGTGGCAGACTGTGTCCGAGCATGTGGTAAGTTTGTAGAGAATGGAGTGTGCTGGTGACAAGCCATGTGACTTAGTCTGCAAATTCTACCACTGTGACATTGTCTCAGTATTTTAATATCTTTCAGATTACGGACTGTGTGCAGTCTACTGGTGACACTGAGTTGGAGGCATGGCATAGTGTATCCGAACACATGGTAAGTTTGTTTAAAATGGGCACGTTAAGTCCGCTCTCCTCTACTCCTGCTCCGAATATCATTCTTCGAGTGCAGCAACTAAACGGAGCTTCGTGTACAGAACTGTGATGCACCGGAACTAGCGACAGGCAGCACAATCACTTTCGTATGTAAATTTATGATACTAGCATGGAATGTCATGACCGCTGGTGTCGAGGATTGCAATAGACCTTTTGCGAAATCCCCCAAGCACCCCGGCCCGCGTACGAGGAATTGTGGGAGAGACTGCCTCTCGCCTGGCCGCTCTGCCTTGAGATCGCATTGCCTTGTCGCTTGCCTCCTCTTAATCCAATCTTTTTCGATTTCATTACCTATTTTTATCTATTCCAGTGTATTTTTTATTTCTTCTAAGTGTATCTATTCTCTTCTGCGCACAATGTTTCTTGTATAGGTATAGTATTTGTACCTTTATTTTGTCTTTTTCGACGGGAGTGCCAACAAACAACACGCCACTTCGTGCCTCGTTCCCCGGGTGAGTACTACTGTTGCTACCGATTCCTACCACATTGTTAGCTGTTAATTTTGGTTCATTTGACCCGCGTGCAGTCGAGAGGAGCCGTTTAAAAACATTCACGCACACGTCATTGGGATAGGCAGAGCTCTGAATCAACAATCGCGACGCGAGAGCCGAGTACGCTGCAATTTGGCCGCCCGCGCTCGCTCTGTTGACTCACACTTGAGGGCGCATAATGTATTTAAAGGATTGAAGATCAACCACAGTATTGTCTAGCCGTGTCATCAAATTTGGATACAAAAATTCATAGTAGGCGCTAGGGGGTCGAGAAATGTCACTTTGATAAATGGCATCAAACCGAAACTAAACAGGAAAAAGCGTCCGTAAAGTTATCGCTTCGCCCTTCCGGGGATGCGATTCGTTATCATCGCGGCTGACTCCATTTGCTTAGGCGAGTCGGCCGCGATAATGACGAATCACATGCCCAGAAGGGCGGAGCGATAACTTTACCGGCGCTCTTTCCTGTTTAGTTTCGGTTTGATGCCATTTACCAAAGTGACATTGCTCGACCCCGTAGCGCCTACTAGGAATTTGTTTATCCAAATTTGACGACACAGCTAGACCATACTGTGGTCGATCTTCAATCCTCTAAATACATTATGTACCCTCAAGTGAAAAATTAAAAAGTTAAGTTAAAACAATTTAGTTAATTAGCTAACTAAATGTCTAATTTCACCTTTTTTCTAGAGGCTGCCATGGCCCCTAACACTTCCCCAGGGCTCAAACGACTATCTCACATTCTCTTTTTTTTTGAAAATTTGGTGCAGCTAAGAAAAACACCCTGTATACATTTTCCCCCAGTGTGTACTGCAGCTTGCAATATGAAGATACAAGCACAGGGTAAGCAGCAATAAACATGACCGGGAATCAAAGCCTTAAACTGGGGATCCATAGGCTGGCCCTTTGCCTTGGAGCCACCGAGGCAGCTAACTTGGCATTCTTACATTCTAGCATTAAGAAAGCAAGTGCTTCTTTCAGCAGCATTATTCTGCTGGCGTGAAGCCATTGTCAGACTTCTGTTATCGCACGATTGCATTCCTAGAACAGAAACAAGTGCTGTGGAGCCAATATTTATGTGGCTGGGACCTGTCTCTTATAATTCTTGAGGTGCACACAAGAAAAACAGTTAATGACTGTTTATTATTACCAACGCCTCCACAATAATGCTCATAAGTTATTAATTTCAAGAATATGTAACATGCAAATGAGATTAAGAAAAAAGATGTCCAATGATATACAAGTGCTAAAAATGCACAAAAAGAAATGAATATAAACTTTGCACAATAATGAGTGACTATAGGCACACAAAAACTCAAACATAAAAGCACACAATCAGAGAACATTACCACATAATCTAAAACTCGAAGAACACACACAAAAGCAATGAACATCAGCACTAGTGCCACAATAGACCCTTTCCATAATTTAGTGCCATCTGATGACTCAAATGGAACTTTAACTTTTACCATACTAATGGCGGGAATGAACCTGTGGTCTGAAGTATTTTATCGGGCACCGCCAATTTCGCAAGTCAACGGTAAACAGCAATGTGCGCTTCACTGTACAGTTCCTCTTCAAACTCTTTCAGTGACGATGGCGAAAAAGATGCAAGCAGTCAGAATGAAGCGCCAACCCACATAGATGCCTTGATAAAGTTCTATACATTAAGGGACTTTAAAGCTGAGAATGTGCTACTAAAAACCGATTTACTGACCCTGAATGCTTATGCAACACTTGCATCCAATTCCTGCTTCAGGTAGCGCTAACGTCTAGAATGTATAGGCCTAAAATCATCTGCTTAGGAGCATCTTCAACTTCTTCCTTTTTCAGTAAACAAAATACTGCCATTAGTATAGTACATATGCCACTTCTCAGATGATGAAGGGTCTATGGCTGGCAATTTCTTTTATGATGAAATATTGCAAGAGAAAGCTCGTGCAAAGAAGCAAGTACAATTATTACCTTAGATGAATAATAGAAAACAAAGATGATGCAAGCAAGAAGGGGAAAAAAATTACACATTAAACATTAATTGATGGAATTGCAGTTCAGCAAGCAGCCAGCTGCCACAAGCACCACTGGCAGTTGCCTCCAACTGCAGGCCATGGCTTCGACGAGTCACCTGCTCATGAGTAAGAGAAAATCCGGATTGCCTCAATAGGCAACACAATATGCACTCTCTACAAAGTATTGGTTAGAACTGCTGCATCTAGCATGCTGGTGTGCACACATACTTTACGCCTTCAGTAACATATTTTGAGTTTTTAAATATTCATATTAAAATATTAACTAATATTTAATTGGAATATTTTATTAAATGTCACCAAACTACTGTTGCCCCCATGCTGTAAGTTGACTTAAAAATCTAAAAGCAATTCTGTATCAGTAGTGCTCTAATAATATTGCTCTTGCATCTGTAGCTCCTCCCTGGATATGATGCCTCCATCACCACCTGAAGACCAAGCAGCTGATGGGGTAGGTATTATTTTTGTCTTCTGCAAGTTAACAAGGCTGAAAAAAATATGTTTGAGAGAAGCACCTCCCTGCATAAAAGAAAATGACTGGTTTTTTCTACAGACTGCAGATGTCGCAGAAGCGGTGCAAAAGGTATGCATTGTCACGTTCATGTGTTTTCTGTCTTTAATACAATTCATACATAGCATTTTTATGCAAGAAAGCGAAATGCAAGTTTTATTATGAAAATGCATTAAAGAAGTGCATTAAATCAATCAAAAGTTTCGCGCCTTCAGTTACGTGTTACAAAAGTAAATATTCCTGCTGCAGGGATGCGGGAGACAAGAGCCAACAAGACTTGACGGAGGCCTGTCTCGGACACATGAGAGCACTAAGAGCGCTCCGAACAGAAGCTAAGGAAGGCAATATTTTTCATTTTTGTATGCGAACAGACTGCCGGCTTAGGGTGTTACCCAAAGTGAAAGCACAGGCCACCATGCACAAGCTTGAAAACATGATATATGATGTCAAGAAGAAATGTAGTGATTTGGGAAGGACCAACTCAGTTTGCAGTTGAAGTTAGAAAACTTAGAAGTTTTCAACTTTCTTTGAGGAGTGTAAAAACATTTTCTGAAGTAGAGTTTGATCGAGAAAAGTAAACCCGGCTTTTCTGCCCGCATAATAACCCAAAGCTAGGAGGAAATTTATGCTCGACTATCACTGCACTGAGCGACAAACGGAACTGGTTGCTTGTCCGGAGCTCCCATGGCTTGCAGCCAGCCCGATGGCGTCATTGATGGACTTGACTCTTTTAGAGATGAAGTGTCCGAACGTACCGAACTGTAAAGAACTACTAAAATCCAGAACGTATGACATAAAAAAGAATGGTGATAGGGCTTTCGAGCTGCAACCAAAGGGACGAAGTAAGTTCTATTATCAAGTTCAATTCGCAATGGACTGCACTGGCAAGACCGCCTGCCACCTCTATAAGTGGTCAAAGGGCAGGAAATTTATGCTCGACTATCACTGCACTGTGCGACAAACGGGCCTGGTTGCTTGTCCAGAGCTCCCATGGCTTGCAGCCAGCCCCGAAGGCATCATTGATGGACTTGACTCTTTTAGAGATGAAGTGTCCGAACGTACCGAACTGTAAAGAACTACTAAAATCCAGAATGTATGATATAAAAAAGAATGGTGATAGGGCTTTCGAGCTGCAACCAAAGGGACGAAATAAGTTCTACCATCAAGTTCAATTCGCAATGGACTGCACTGGCAAGACCGTCTGCCACCTTTATAAGTGGTCAAAGGGCAGGAAATTTATGCTCGACTATCACTGCACTGTGCGACAAACGGGCCTGGTTGCTTGTCCAGAGCTCCCATGGCTTGCAGCCAGCCCCGATGGCATCATTGATGGACTTGACTCTTTTAGAGATGAAGTGTCCGAACGTACCAAACTGTAAAGAACTACTAAAATCCAGAATGTATGACATAAAAAAGAATGGTGATAGGGCTTTCGAGCTGCAACCAAAGGGACAAAATAAGTTCTACCATCAAGTTCAATTCGCAATGGACTGCACTGGCAAGACAGTCTGCCACCTCTATAAGTGGTCAAAAGGAAGGAAATTTATGCTCAACTATCACTGCACTGTGCGACAATCGGGTTTGGTTGCTTGTCCGGAGATCCCATGGCTTGCAGCCAGCCCCGATGGCACCATTGATGGACTTGACTCTTTTAGAGATGAAGTGTCCGAAGGTACCGAACTGTAAAAACTACTAAAATCCAGAATGTATGACATAAAAAAGAATGGTGATAGGGCTTTCGAGCTGCAACCTAAGGGACGAAATAAGTTCTACCATCAAGTTCAATTCGCAATGGACTGCACTGGCAAGACCGTCTGCCACCTCTATAAGTGGTCAAAGGGCAGGAAATTTATGCTCGACTATCACTGCACTGTGCGACAAACGGGCCTGGTTGCTTGTCCGGAGCTCCCATGGCTTGCAGCCAGCCCCGATGGCATCATTGATGGACTTGCGTACCGAACTGTAAAGAACTACTAAAATCCAGAATGTATGACATAAAAAAGAATGGTGATAGGGCTTTCAAGCTGCAACCAAAGGGACGAAATAAGTTCTACCATCAACTTCAATTCGCAATGGACTGCACTGGCAAGACTGTCTGCCACCTCTATAAGTGGTCAAAGGGCAGGAAATTTATGCTCGACTATCACTGCACTGTGCGACAAATGGGCCTGGTTGCTTGTCCGGAGCTCCCATGGCTTGCAGCCAGCCCCGATGGCATCATCGATGGATTTGACTCTTTTAGAGATGAAGTGTCCGAACGTACCGAACTGTAAAGAACTACTAAAATCCAGAATGTATGACATAAAAAAGAATGGTGATAGGGCTTTCGAGCTGTTACCAAAGGGACGAAATAAGTTCTACCATCAAGTTCAATTCGCAATAAACTGCACTGGCAAGACCATCTGCCAACTCTATAAGTGGTCAAAGGGCCATGGCGAGGTTGTAGCTGTCCCCTACAACAAGGATTTCATGAAGTTCCATCTAAAAAGGGCGAAGAACTTCTACTTCAAGAGCCTGTTGCTGGCATCTGTGGATGACGTAAACTCGAGAAAGATAAAGCTCTCAAATGAATACAATGCACATCCGTAATGGACAGAGGTGGAGAGGCAGTGAAGTATTCTTCATTTTTTACACAATGTGTGATGCTTCAAAGTTTTGGTGGTAACAAGTTTGATTGATCAAAACGGTGTTTTCAGCACTTGGTAAACAGTAATAAAAGACCATTATATAAAGTAGTCAAAAAATTTGCATTGCAACCATGATTTATACTCTGAAAACTTAGCAAATTAGGAGTGTTGTGTATGGTGGCAAGTCTCTATTTGCTATCGGTAGTCAATATTACTATTTAATCCCCACAAGAAGAGTTTTATGCTTATACAAGAGGTAGGAAGCGATTCATGAAAATGTATGTTCTTCTACAGCAACGAAAGCAACCTTTGCATTCCAAGAAAACATCTAATGAGGAGTGGTTTGAAGTTGAACTGCTGATACATAGACAGTGATCCAACTACAGCCTGCATATGGGAAAAGATACATAGTTTTGCATGAAGTAAATGTGAACAATGGAGCAACCAGCCATCCATTTGAGCAGGGGCTTCGCTTTACACCAGCCCGTAGAAGTTTCCGAGCTTCACGTCATCCACTTTAACATTGCAGCACTCTGAGGCAATGGCAACAAAAAGGATAGTTTACAGAAATAAATTTTTGCATTATCATTACAGTAATGATTTATATAAAGGTGAACAGGCAATTGCCGACGGCTCTCACACTGGCAGTGCCATGGAGTGGAGACCAAAACTGCTTGCTTGCCTTGTGAACGAACCGCGACAAGGCGTAGAATGAGAACAGTAAGCTGACATGGCCACTTCTCCGGGATGCTGCCAGTACACAATGGTTGGCAATCACCCTTTTAACTTCATATACATAGGTTGCACATGACGTCATGTCCGTATTCGAGAGATTAGAGGGGAGGGGGCGGACGAAAGAGGCCCGCGGGGCCTTCAGGGTCGCGCACCGTTTTGGCGGCCACCTCTCTATCGGGCGGGCGTGCGTCATGTACGAGTTTTCAGTTTGACAGGAGTGCAGGTGCTCAGGCTGCTGTTCTTTTCTTGCTGCAGGGCTTGAAAATTATGAAATCGTGAAGATGGCAGTCATACTAAGTGAATACGGTGCAAGTTTGCCGAGGTCATGCTAAGCGGTGGTATGGACCCGCTTCCGTTTGATGCCGACGATACAGTGATAGAGCACGACCTGTACCCGAAAGTGCAAGACATTGATATTAGGGACTATATTGTTGACAAGACAAGCTTTATAACCAGGGATCAGTTTGAAGCTCAGAAAGGACTGGAGGCACATAGCTATCTGGCCAGTGGGTGGATACAGCTTCCACAACTGAAAGCTTTGCCTAACGACGACGTTGTAGTCATTGGAAAGGTAAGCAAGAGGTGTCTGTTGTCTAATGATGCAGTATAGTTTAATAAAACCAGTGATATGACGAATTACTTGGTCTGGGGGGGGGATATACCTTCATGAACACATCGCAACACTAATAACGTGAACACAAGCGAGCATTTCCGCATTTTAGACGGAAAGAGTACTAGCGGGCATATTTTACCGCCTTCATTATTGCGCCAAGAGAGCACTTTCGAAAAAAAAAGGAAACTTCATGAGAGCCTTTCGGTTCTAAGACCAATATCAAAATACGGCGATCGCCCGTTTGCACTGACACCGTCGCGGTCTGTACAAAGCGCAGGTATTCTCTCCAGTGAATCACTGCCACCATGCCTACAAGTTTCATTTCCACTCTTGCAAAAATACCAGCCATTGAGTGTTGTGAATAAACATGCGATTGAAGAATTTTATGCAAAAGTGGTTGAGTGAAAATGCTTTGCTACAATTTCTATTTTTGCGATTCCATTTAGGTCAACCATTTGCAAAGTGCAAGAGAAGCTTGTTTGCAGCCCTGGTTGCTGTCGAAACCAGATGGTGAGGTGGTTCTGGCCCACTGCGACTGCATGGGGGGCTTGGCGAGGCATGTTCTCACATTGGAGCCGTGTTGTTTTATTTGGAGGTAGTCGTGAAGCACAGAGTTGAGCAAGTTGGCACCGGCGAAGAAAACGCAGAGCTTCCAGCCTACTGCAGCAACCTGGCCTGTGTGCCCATTACCAAAGTGGACTTCTCTGCAACTGCAAAAAAGCGATGCATCGACGAAGCTGAGCCGTCAAACTTACAAGCGCTGCGGTACCCGAAACCAGCACCTACAAGACCAAGCGATCTACAGTGGGCCCAGGTTCTTGCAGATGTGGACGCAGCAGATACAAACCCAGCGTTTCTTTCACTTCTTGACGACTATGCTGAAAGCTACAAACCCACAGCTTCCAAGCACAAGTCAACACTACTGTGCAATATTTACAAAAATGGTCTGCTGCCATCATCGGCTGACGTCCTGAAAGAGTGCGAGAATGTGGCCAGTGGAATCAGTATCGAGCCCGAGGTATGTATGTAGATCATGTCTATTAATGAAAGGGAAAATGATGTGGGAAAGCTGGTATAAGTTTACAATGGTGTATTCCAAACAAAACACCAAGGGGAGCAATGGTAATCACGTCAGTTTCGGCTTGGTGTCGTCACCGACGACATCGACAGAAGCGCCACCAGCACCACTGCATACAAGAGCATCAACCGACTGAAAATTCGTCAGTGGGCATGGCCAACGCCTACTAGAACTCCAAGGCCTGCGCGCTTGCTTTTTTCCATGCTCTGACGTCACCGCACCTTGCCCGACGATTTCGCGACGTTAGTTTGCCGCCTGCCCAGCAGATGCCGCTAGCGGCGCCGTCGCTAACTTTGCTCGCTCGGCCGGTCGCGCAGCGGCGTCAACGGTCACAACTGTCATCTTCAAGCATTCTTTTGTTCGGTGCACGTTCGGTCGCTGTTTACGTGAAACCATGTGCACTGTGGTTCCGATGTGAGCGAGCAGTTGTGACCTTGTCGGTTCGGTGCGCGTTCGGTCGCTGTTTACGTGAAACCATGTGCACTGTGGTTCCGATGTGAGCGAGCAGTTCTGACCTTGTCGGTTTGGTGCGCGTTCGGTTGCTGTTTACGTGAAACCATGTGCACTGTGGTTCCGATGTGAGCGAGCACTTGTGACCTTGTCGGTTCTGTGCACTGGCTGGTTTACGAAACAAGATGGGCCGTTGCTGTGTTCCCAACTGTCGCGGGAATTACGATACCGGGCCGAAGGTTCGTGTCTTCTCGTTTCCGAAAGACGACGACAGAAGAATAAAGTGGGAACGTGCGGTACGTCGCCACGACATTGAGATCGCCACCTTGCGTGATCCCAAGGTAAGATTGTTAAGGGGAGACACCCCCTGGGAGGGTCAACTTTTGAACCCTTGGCTTAAAATTAATTAAATTTATAGGGAAGGCTGGTGGTCATGCTAGTGGGTGCATAACAAAATTTCAGGTCTGTCGGTTAAGTCGGAAGGAAATTAGGGCAGCTTCTATCAGCAACACCCCTACATTGTTTAGTTAATCTATCGTTGGAAAACTATCACAATATTCAAGATCTTTATGTGCTAGATATGTAGCAGAATGCCTAGGAGGTGCGCCTATGGAAAGTTTTTTGTAAAAAGTCACTGATTTCTATCAATTTTCTCTTCTGCAAAATTGGTCAACTTTTTGGTCTTCTGTGTCTCCGACAAAATGTCAACATTTTTTATAAAAGACATCCGTAAAGTGACAAACAAACTCCATAGGCGCATTCCTTGTTAAATTTCAGTCTGGAAAAGTGAAGAACGAGCCTTCCTTGTATTGCCATTATCAAACGATTGACTAAAATGAAATTATACCAAAAAGTGGAATGGAGAAAAATGTGTTCAAAGTGCTCCAAACCCTATCTTTTCTTTAGCTTTGGTGGACAGAAAATAATTTATAAAAAATTAACTATGCAGTGTAAACTAGTGAAAATTTCTGGGAATACTCTCTGGATGGAGATGGATGTAAATATATAATTTTTCAAAATCAATGTTTTTTGCAGAATTTTTTTTTTCTGGGTAGTGTCCCCCCTTAAGAGAATTCAAGCTTTTAGTAGCAACAAGGGGAGAAAAGGGGGGGGGGGGGGGGATTTAGTCGTGGGTCGGTTTTAACACGCCTGTCATGCCGCTTTGGAAACAACAGCGGAGAGGAATTTTTGTTTCTCACTTGCGCGAGGCAGTGCATCGTCGGTCGTGACCTTCGCTTCGACCGTCGATAGTCCCTAAAACTGTTTTGGCGTTTGTTTTTTTATTCAAAAAGTTCATAAGCTGCACAACAGTTGGTTTTATTTTATAGCATGCCGCTTTCGTGCGCTTCAACGTTATCGCGTGGTAGCACTGCAAAATATTTATTTTCAGCATGTGGTGCTAACCGGCATCGCAGACCCTCTTTTGGTGCTATGATTGCCTTTAAGGAAAATGTGTGACTCAATAGCGTCATTGTTTCTTTAAGTCATCGGACCTTTTCACGCCAGCGTCTGTCTTGTTCGGCGTGAAATCGCCGTAACTACTTGCTACATGGTCTTGAGCATGCCGGTCGCCAGTCAGGCAGCCTCCTAGATAATAAAGGCTAAAAAAAGATTGGTTTTAAGGAGTTCGACTGCACTCTCTTCAAAACCACTGCGGAATAAAGCAGATTGCTCAAGACTTTCTCGCATGCATTAGAGAACATACACTCAATGCATTTCAGCTGTCAGCCCCTCCTTTAAACAGCGCTCCCTCCTTCCGTTATTTGCAGGTCTGTGAGCTACATTTCAAGAAAGAGTACCTGAGGACTACCACTTCGTATACTGACTCGGATGGAAGAACTATAGAAGCTCCCATGAGCCTTACACGGTTGACACCAGATGCAGTGCCCACAATATTTCCCAATAGCCCTGCTTACTTGCCTGACTGTGGGCCAGTTCGAGAAAAGCCGGAAGCCAAGAGGAAGCGTGTTGAGGCAACGCGGCTACAAGAAGCCATCCAGCTCTCACTATCAGCACACAAGGAAGAGGAGCAAAAGAACAGAGTGTCGTCCTACGACCAGTTCCTTTCACGGCTTCCAGATCTTCACGTCGCAGACTTCTGGCTGATACAGAAAGCCAAATCGGCGGTTCTGTTTGTGCACATAGATGACAGCATGGGACACCCGGAAGTTGAACACTCCGTCGTTGTTACGGACACCATGAAAGTGACTGCCTCTTGGCGACGAGTGACGTTGTGCTTTGATGAAGTCAGCATTCCCGAGACATTGGACGACATGCGACAACTTCAATGTGTTCTAGACAGAGTGCAAGAGTTCAAAGCCCCAGACGTGTGCGAAAAAAACGAAAAACTGAAAGCTTGTGTCGAGTTACTTTTTTCGCTTCTGGACGACCTCGCAAGCAACAAACTTTTGCCGCAAGAAAAAACGGAAGCGCTCGCATTCCTGATGGAGCAACTGCACCTGCTGCTTAAAGGAACAGCTTTCAGGTATTCTACGGAACTTCTCGTATTCTCAAGCTTATTTTACACTATCTCGCCTCATGCATACAAATTTGTTCGTAGCAGTGGGAAACTAACATTGCCTCACAGGTCCACAGTGATGAAGCTTTGCAGCAAATACAATGCAACCCCAGCAAATGAGCAGAATGATGAAGGATTCCTGCGTTACATAAAGAAGAGGGCAGGCCTCCTAAAGCCACACGAAAAAGTAGTAACATTAATGATGGATGAAATCCACATTCAAGAGTATTTTGAGTACAAAGGAGGCTCTCTGGCCGGAACCGCATCAAACACTTCCGAAGCTGCGAAAACTGCGCATGTCTTCATGACCCAGTCCTTACTTTCAGCGCACAAGGATGTGGTCCACATTTTGCCAGTCTCTAGGATTGATGCGAGCCGGTTGCATGAAGTAGTACAAAAGGTTATTCTAGGACTTGAGGAAACGGGGCTCACTGTGATTGCGGTGATCACAGACAATAATGCAATAAACAGAAAGGTGATGTCCTTGTTTTCAAAAAAGAAGCTAGATATAGTGTACCCACATCCAGCAGATGCCTCACGACCATTGTTCTACATTGTAGACACTGTACACCTGTTGAAGTGTATCAGGAACAACTGGATCAATCAAAAACATCTGGACACCTGCATTTTCTATCCAGAGTTCTCAAGCACTAAGTCGCAGGTGGAGATAAAAGGAGCCTCATTTAAGGCGCTCCGTGATCTACATGCTTCTGAGCAACAAGATTTGTCAAAATTTGGCTATGGGCTGACGTACAAAGCGTTACATCCATCGAACATTGAACGCCAGAATGTAAAACTTGCCCTGAAGGTGATGAGTCCATTCGTTGCGGAAGCCCTTAGAACACGTGGAAGGCAACTTGGTTTGCCATATGATTCAGAAACCGCAGACTTAATTGATGTGGTACATCGGTGGTGGAGCATTGTCAATGTGCAAACTCCTTGCAAAGGCAGGCGCCTTCGGGACCCCAATCAAGAACCAGTCAGAGCTTTGACAGACATGCAGTTGGAGTTCCTCAATGATTTTGTGAACTGGCTTGACATATGGGGCACTGTCAAAATGGATACTGGGGCATTAACAACAGACACACACACGGCGCTCCGACTGACATCGTACTCACTTGTTGAAGTCACGAGATACTGCCTCGAGGAGCTAAACTTTGAGTATGTTTTACTAGGCGAATTCCAGACGGAGAGTCTAGAGGACAGGTTTGGCTGCTATCGTCGCCTGTCTGGGACAAATTACCACATCTCGGTCCAGCAGATATTTGAGTCCGAGACAAAACTGAGGCTTCAGGACTCGCTGGTTTTCCCAGATATGCAAGAATTGTGCAAGCCATCCGGTGTGACTCGCGATGCAGACAAACTGATGAAAGACTACAACATCAAAATAACAGAAGATGACTTAAAAGAAAAAGAACCGAGTTTGCCAGCTATAGCATACATAGCAGGCTTTTGTGCGCATGCAGCGCTCAAGGAAATTCCCTGTGAGGCATGTGCGCTGAACCTCGTAACGGAAGAAAGGGAACTGCAACTGGACAGGAACGTCCTCATCGAAAACCTCACGAGAGGTGGCCTCAAGTTTCCTCAGTCGGTTGTCATCAACGCTGTTTTGCACACGCAGCTTGTGCTAGAAAAGCTCACATTAAAAGAAAATGCCACACGCTTTCATGCTGAAGGCAACCAAAGAGAGGTGCTTCTAAGTTTGTCAAGGCACCTGCTTTTGGACAACGAAGACCTAGACATTTGCAACAATGGGCAGCACCATGACACAGTGCTTAGCAACATCCTGCGGGCAGCCGCCCACACATTACTTAAGAACTATGTGCAAATGAAGACTGACCAGTTGAGGTCTAGAAAAGCTGCAGTGCATCTGAAGAAATTGCAAACTCTGAAATGATTCAGTGCACTCGGACAAAAATAAAGACGTGCGTTACGAAATGTATGTTGTATCACCTTTAAATCTTAATGCCACAGAAACTTGCCCCTGCCGGATGGCTAGGATGAGAGAAAGTACATTAAAGGTAAGTTACGAGACACCGTGTCTCCAGGCTTCAATTACCATTAAAAACTCTTTTTTTGCTCTGCAAACTAGTCAAGGCTTCTAAACTATTTATTTTATTTATTTATTTATTCTCTGCAGCGCCAGAGCATTACAGCAGAGGAGTGGGTTACATGATTCACATATATCATTATAAATTGGAAAGTCACATAACAGCACACATCAGCAATTTCCAACAACATCAATAAACATGATTCACACCAGCACACAATAGCAATATTACGAAAAAACCAATGATGTACTTAACACAGAAACTTACATTGCATTATTAAGGCTAATAAAAGAGTAACTGTTAGCTGATACAATATCAGACGGCAGTTCATTCCATTCCGATATAGTTCTCGGAAAAAAAGAAAACATCATATAGTTAGTTCGACATTTTATTTCGCGTATTTTTTTTACGTGGTCCCTCCTACTCAATATATAGTGGGGCATTTTTAGATAATTAGACTTGTCTATTCCAGTTAAATCATTGTTGATAGCGTAAATAAGTTTAAGTCTATTTTTCTTACGTCTTTTTTCTAAAGGCTCGATACCCATACAAACTTTCATTTGTGTCACACTCTCTGCTCGAGAATACTTATTCAGAATAAACCTCACAGCGCGATTTTGAATGCCTTCTATCTTATCTATGAGATATTTTTGGTGATAAACCAAAACTAAACGAAAAACATGAAAAAAAAATTGACGCAAACTACATAATTCCTTTTTTTTTAACGCGTTTTAGCCGACGGCAGCAGCCACGTTCCAAAACACTCGGTCAAAGTGTGTGACGTCACGGATGAGACGCGCAGGCCTTGAAGTTCTAGTAGGCATTGGCATGGCAGCATTGCACGAACCATGTCGTGTAATCACCTTCCATTTATCGTGCAGGTTAGTAAGAAACACCTTTTCGGATTCAAAAGCGACATTCTATTTCTTGTTGTGCTGCCATGCCCCGGCACGTGTGTGCAACTTCTTGTCGAGTGCGTCTATTCTGTGCGCTCCGTCTTATTATTGCTGTCTGGAGACAAACTAAATCCAAGCCCAATGTCGGATGTACAAGCGAAACAGTTCGCCGATATGTTTACACTCCTGAAGGATCTTTCTGCGCACTCAGTAAAAATAGAAGGGCAGTCGGGACTAATAAAAATGGTTAACGAAATTAAAGCTAACCAAGTGGAACTGGAAAACAAAATTGAGCACATTGGCAAAAGGATTGACCTTGTTGAGACAAGAATGTCTGGTATCAGCAACGAACTTGCACAGGCACATAGAGAGATACAATCTGTACAGGAAGACAATATTGCTTGCACAGTCGCATGAACGACTTCGAAGACAGGTCAAGGCATTCAAACCCGATTTTTCATGGTGTAGCTAATTCACGGACGGTGACATGGGCTCAAACACAAGGGAAAATTCTTGAGATAATCTGTCGCTCAGTCGAATCAGAGATAGCCCCCAAGTTCATCGAACGGGCACACAGATTGGGAACCTTTCCGCAGGAAAATTGTAGACCGATCATAGCAAAATTTGCATTGTACAGACTCAAAGATAAGATTTTGAACTCCCGCGTAGCACTTAAGATCGGAGGGACAACAGTGAACGAGGATTTTCGCCCCACGATGCGGCAAGCGAGAGGGTAGCTTTATGAATTTGGCGTCTCACAAAACGTAACCTTCAAGTTGCGATACAACAAACTGTTTATTGGCCAAGCATGTTATACTTACGATCCATTGACTGACAGCGTTCGTCAGGTGGTCCAGCGTATCAGCAGTGCACCCGTGACTGCGACAACAGCTAATAGAACTATACACGTAAATCCTTCAACAACTGCGTCATAGCATGTAGCGAGGAGTAGTGGTCACATGCAACTTTCGGCTTTCAAAAGTGTCCATTCTTTTTACAAATATCAGGAGTATTATCAATAAAGGGGATGACTTGCGGTCTATCACTGATTCATCAGGCGCTAACATTGTTGTTTTAACTGAAACTTGGCTGACGAGTAAGATTCGTGATGGTGAAATTATGCCCAGTTATAAAAAGTTCAACATTTATCGGCAAGACAGAGAGGGTAAAACTGGCAGCGGTGTTTTGATTGCTATCGCGGATCCCATTTCTTCTTTCCTTGTAAACATAGTGACTGAGCTAGAAATAATATGGGTATGTATCTGTTCAAACCATTGCGAATATGTCTTGGGTGTTTGCTACCGGCCTCCTTCAAAGAATGCGTCTTTTGTATCTCAACTTCACGATGTCGTCAACGCAATCACTGTTCGTTTTCCTAACATTCCAATTATTATGTTGGGAGACTTCAATTACCCAGACATAATTTGGTCAAGCGATGGCCCTCGCCAGAGTACATCTTCTACGGAATCAAATGACTTTCTAGATTTTTTTGCGGATTTCAGTTTTTCGCAAATTGTTACGCAGCCCACTCCAATTTCGAATTCTTCTGCAACGCTGTTGGATGTTGTGTTGACCACGTCACGCAAGTTAATATTGCCCAACTCTTACTTGTCTGGTCTGAGCGATCATTCTTTGCTGCACTTTTTTTAAAATCTACCGGAGTCTCTTTTACGAGTCGAGGTTAAGCGTGCTTTTGATTATGCTTGTGCAGATTTCCCGGTCATTAATACGGAAATCTGTGTTTTCTTGAGTGGATATCTACGAGAGTTTTCTGGGCGTTCTATTGAGACTAACTTGGCGTTATTTAAATATAAGGTTTCTTCACTTTCAAGTAAATACATCCCTGTATGAACTATACGAAATTGTCCTGGGTCCCCTTGGTTTAATGGGACTCTCAGAAAACTCTCAAACAAAAAGAAAAGACTGTTCCGGGCCGCAATACTTTCTGTGCATTCCATTGCTGAACATCGCTGGGCAGCGTATCTTTCAGCCGCTGCTATATACAAGACACCTATTAAAGAGGCTAAACTTCGTTTCTTCAACAGTACCTTGCCCTCCATGTTGCGCAGCAATCCTCAGCAATTTTGGAATACTGTAAACCCTTCGAAGAAAATCGTCCTAGAGCTAAGAAACATTGACGGTGAAAAGATAGAAACATGCGAATGTGCAGCTTTACTAAACAAAATGTTCACGGAGTCCTTTTCTAGTGTAGACGACTCCAATTATCCAGATTTAAGCCGGCCGGGTATTGGTACCATCGACCCCACTGATGTTGAATGTACCGGAATTCGCAACTTTCACAAACTATAGGGGGTGCCACTGAGAAATCCAAAAAGGCAGTCAACTAGATGATCGATGGCCACGACGGGGTGCTGTAGGACGTGTTTGCTGCTGTTTCGGAGCTTGTTCTAAATAGTGGCATGGCTGAAGCTTTGGTTTTAACTTTAGAGACATTGCTGAAGCACAGGTGAAGGCGACTGTCGCATACAGTGCATCGTTGAAGGCGAAGCGGTGTTGAACGCCGGTCACCTTATGTGTTGTGGCATCAACACGCACTCCACGTCTTCGCTCACAATACAAGCGTTCTGCGTACAGACGAGCAGCCCGAAACAAAAGCAACACGAGCTGCGATGCACGGTCTTTTAAGACGGCAAGGTAGAGGCAAGTCGTACATTTATGTAGATTCGTTATCGTAGTACCCACGCTGGAAACTTGTGCGCGTTACTAGAATAACCTAAATGAGGCACGAGAATGAACAGTGTCGCCAGTCTTATCAGTCTTGTGTGATATGCTCTAATACGCTGTATGTGCGACATTCATAGAGATGTAGGCGCGTATATCGGCATGATGCGGTGTTCATACGAACATGCTCGCACGTCCCTACGACGCCGTACAACTACCTTGTTGGGAGCTTTGCAGACGTCGATCGCACATATTTTTGTTGCTGTTACATATATCCTGTTTAGAATTTGAGCTACAATGGCAACAAATAGTCATCGTGAAAGCGTTCTCACGAGCTAGACACGAATATGCCCTACCAAATTATATTTTTGATTGACTTAATCTGGTTCTTTTTGGGGAGGGATTTCAGGCACTCTGCTCATGCAAGGCAGGCGCATCTCAACGGTGCAAACATGCAGTTGCTCTGATGCTGTTTGTAAACCGGTGAGACCATTGTGTTAAGTTTCTTTCCTATGTTTTGCGAACACCATCTCTGCTGCTATGTGCACATTTCAGAGATATCATTGTGATATTTAGAACTGAGGCAAAAAGCAAACAAAAATATGGATTACTTCACTTCGTATTTGAGAGGTACTGGCTACGACTTTGTTTTGTTTTTTGTGTTTGGCATCAAATCTTTCAGGGCACCAAGCAGTTATGCTGTTATGGGAAACATGGGTATCCTGTAGAAGGGTCAACAGGTAGGTATTTATCGCTTCAGTAGTGTGGTAAGTCATGGGCATCCAGTGTGCCACCTGTTTGATTCAATGAACACAGCAGTCACTGACACACGTCTGCGAAAGCAATGGCTGGCAAAGGTGTACATGTCTGCCTATTGCAATTCTTTCTTGGGATTTTTAAGACTCACTGTACGAGGGTAATTCTTAGCATAAACGTGGTGCCTGAAATATGTCCAACTGGTGTGTCTGCCATATCCTCACTGTTGGTTACTCGATTTCTGCCCGACAAGCCACTACTGGGGCATTTAGTTACCAGCAGCAATCCCTGTGGTCTCGCACCAGCACAGGTGGATGTAGGACAAGCTTGTTCTGTCGTTAGTGACCTTACATCCTGACAGTCGACACAAACAACGCAAGCAATATTGTATTTCTTTGCCAGCTGCAGTCCCGGCAATGTCACGCCAGCACACTTGGATGCAGGACAAGCATGTTCTGTCGTTGGTCACCTTGCATCCCGACAGTCGACGCAAACAACAGAAGCAATATTGGGCTGTTGTGACAACGGCGACCTTTTTGCCGACAATCCTGGAACCAACTGCCAAAACTACAATGGTTGACTAAATGTCCGACTGGCTCCAGTGACGTATTATGTTGCAACTACCGAACAAGTTGAAATGCATGGACACTATAGGACACTGAGAATTCTGAGACGCGTCCCAGGCACTGTAATATGCACAAAAAGGGACAGAGAAAACATATTTAGTTCTTTATTTATTTTATTCATCTGGACTACGCATCATCTGCCAGACTCTGGGATTCTGCTTGTATCCGGAGCCAAGAGCGGCACAAAAAGTACAAGTGAAGCTGCAGATTATGACAGGATTTACTCATCTGGTCCGTTTAGCCTGTGGTCGACTGGAAGTTGAAAAGAGACGGCAGACCACACAATATTTATCTGCCTGGCTTCGATATGAAGCATTCATTGTCTTGCCTAAATTCTGATGTAAAGAACGGCATGAAACATGCATGAACAAATCAAAGTAAATATGCACAATACTGACATACATGCACACGAAAGCCTAAAAATAAAATAGAAGATTTACCAATCAAACAGATTTCAACGAAGCGGTGTGTGTGCACAACTTAATTTTTCTTGTGCATGTTTTTCATGTGTTGTCAAAATGTATGTGGCCCAACTACATGCCTTGCTGCACTCATCTTAATTCTCATGCTCACACTGACTTTGTTTTTAGTGTTGGGACATCGAGCAACCCTCTCCAACGGACCTGAAGCAAGCCTGGGGTCATTTACGGACAACGCAGGTGTACGAGCCGAAGATGTTGCAAGAACTCTGTCACGTTCACGCCATGCCGGAGGTACAAGTGGACGATAAGGTGCTGGAGGACATACGTAGCGATCTCCTTTCGTGTGCCACCGAATCTGCTCTTGCCCTTCACCTGAAAGGCAGGAAAATAAGTGAGGTCAGCAACCATGGCAAAAGTCCAGAAGGCAGCTCCGGAGCTGTAAGTGCTGCCGACACCAATTTCTTCCTCGGCATAAGTCGCAGCACCTGTGTAAAACAGTATGAACAAGTTAGTTTTCACACCGTTGCTTTTCTCAATGTCGGGCATTTCAGAATCAACAAGTTCATGTGGGAAAATCTGTCACCTCAAGAGCAGCAGTTTTACAAAATACATGTTGCCGTGACAGCTGATGAGGCAGCAGCCATTTGCCATGACACACTCTTACAAAAGGGCGGTCGTAGGCAACGTGAGCGCAAGCTGCGCATTACTGCTAGCAGTTGTCATGCCTACTTCACCTTTCTCCCTACGGAACACCGGTCGTGGGCAGGAAAGGTCCAGCTGATGTACTGCGAAAGCTTCCCAGGAAATAAGGCGACCCGGCATGGGAAACGGTGCGAAGGACCTGCCTTGGAAAAATACACAGAAATGACGGGAAGCAGTGTCCGAAGGTTCAGACTCGTTGTAAATCCACCTGTACCCTGGCTGGGGTGCAGCTCTGATGGTGTTGCAGAGGTAAATGATGTGCCGTCGATCCTGGTTGAGGTTAAAAGCCCCGAGGCGGGAAAAAACACTTCAGCAAGGGAGCTGATCGCTGCGAAGATGGATGAGTACATAATCAAAGAGGGTGAGAATAACCACCTGCGAAAAAAACATTCACATTACTCTCAGTGCCAGCTGGAATGTTTTTGCTAGACCTCAAGATGGATCACCTTAGGATGTACTGTGAGAAGGGCTCCCTAATCCTCCCTGTGAGCCGAGATAGTGCACACATTGACGAGCTCGTTAGGAAGCTTAAATTTGTATACTTTGAACATATTATATGCAAGCTAGCGCAGTAAGTCTTGCTGTGCAGACCCACTTGGAGCAGATATGACCGAGACTGCAACTGGTGGGGGCCAAGTGCACATAATAGACGGTATCATTCCTAGAATTGAACGAGTCCATACCAACTGAGCACATTTGCACCCTTCAGGCTGATATGGTATTGCCTAAAGCCCGAACACCGCCCCCAGTCGTAGTCCTGGCCAAGTGCTTTGAGCTTTTTCATTGGCGACACTATTTTCTTTATAGTGCGTGACGCATGTTCAAGACCCTCAGGCTAGCAGTTATACTGCGCTGGCAAAATTCCTCATCTACAGCGCAGAGACAATCGCCCCTCTTGACGGTAGACTAACATCACACTGTGCAAGCATTCAGTCAACTAATTTACTTTTTCACCAGTTTTCCGTACTGTCAGTTACTGCACTTGTCTCAATCCAATGAAGTCACAACAGCGATTTGCCACAAGGTTTTGTTTTAGGTCCTCTTTTGTTCCTAATCTTCATTAATGACCTCCCAGCACATATCTCATCAATTATTGGTCTCTTCACCAACGATTGTGTCATCTACTCTGAAATAACTAATGATTCTGATGTTCAATCACTACAGACGGACCTTAACAATATTTCGCGCTGGTGTGCTAAATGGAGAATGAAACTCAATATTAATAAGTGCAAATCTACAAGTCCCTTGTCAAAATAACACCTGTCCGTCTTACCACATCGACAATGTTTTACTGGAACCCGTAAATCATAGAAATATCTTGGCGTATACATAAATAACAACCTTTCTTGGAACACTCACATTAAATATGTAACTAATACAGCTAACCGCATGCTAGGCTTTTTTAAAAGAAATTTCTCTTTGGCTCCCCTCCTTAAAACTGCTTCTCTATAAATCTTTGCACCGCAATAAACTAGGATACGCTGCTGCCATTTAGGATCCGGCCAAATCACTTGCATTATCGCTTGAAGCCGTTCAAAACCGTTCCGCTCGATTCATTTTACACAACTATCATCGCACATCTAGCGTGACTGAAATGAAAAACACTTTTGGCCTCCCTATCCTCTCTCTCCGCAGAAAAGTATCCAGACTGTGCTTGTTTCATAAAGTTTATCATTATAACCCGGCATTACGACAACTTTTGATAACTGAAACCTCTTATGTTTCTTCGCGTATCGATCATCAAAATAAAGTAGCTATCTCTCCCTGTCACACATCAAGTTTTCACAAGTCTTTCATGCCAATAACATCTTTGGATTGGAATCGCCTTCCCGCTCACATCGTTGACATAGTTGGAAGTGCCGAGTTTAAAGATGCCGTTTGTAACTATGTTCTCTGCTCCGAGTAACAAGTTTGTTTGATGTTTCTTTCTTTTTTCACCTGCCTAATTTACTATGTGTTGTATTTTAGATGTTCTGTCCACACCCCACTATAATGCCTTCGGGCCCTGAGGGAGTAAATAAATAAATAATAAATAAAAGTATACTGGTAGAGAAAACTTGAACAGGAAGCTTCTCATAATCTTCAGCGCGGCGTGCCAATGTCTAGTGAAATCTTATAAATCTTGTGCGCAGCAAAAGCAGAGAACAGGACACAACAAGGTGCATTGTTGTGTCCTGTTCTCTGCTTTTGTCCTCGTCCTTGCTGCGCACAAGGTTGTATAAGATGTCAAACCAACTTGCCCAAAAAACCACTCGTCTAGTGAAACGTTGGCACACCACTCTGAGGATTAAGAGAAGCTCCCTGTTCGAATACAATGGTGTATTTGGATATAATCCGAGACTGTTTTCATTTTGCTTGTACTTTGTCTAAGGTTAATTCACGTCATTCAGTTTGTGTTGTCAATCCCTTCTGTTTGCTTTTAATCGTTTTTTTTTTAAAATAACATTTGTTTATATTGCAGGTATTGAAACTGATTGAGGAAGAAACAAGGTCACAGACTTCATGCTTAAAACCGGTTTATTTTTCATGCTGGCAGGGTGATGGTCTCTAACACCAAGGCTGTTTGTGCGACATCACTGGCAAAACAATCGCAGAGCCTTGTACAACGGATGTGCTATCCGGAGAATCAGATTCACAAAGTCCACAGCCTGGGGAATTGAGAAGAAACAGGGTGCGCAGAAAATGTGTGTAGATGCACTATCTAGTCGAAATGTGAACTTTCAGTACAGAGTATCTGGACTTAACACAAGTTCTTCCCATCCATTCCTTGGGGCATCACCAGACAGTATTGTCAGCTGCGAGTGTTGTGGAGTAGGTGTGCTTGAGGTGAAGTACCCATACAGTGATCAGGACTACACCATTGCCGGATACACTTACTTGAAGAAAAGTAGCCTCATTCTCCCAGGCAAAGGGTGCATGCAGCTCAAGAGAAACTATGCACATTACTATCAATTACAAATGCAATGTTTGTTTGCAATCTGAAATACTGCGACTACATTGTGTGGACCGGAAATGTACATCGCGAGAATTTCCTCTGATGCAAAGTTTACGGATGCTATGATTTCAAAGTGTCAGCGCAGCACAGGCAGTAGCACACACTTCTTCGAGTGTGTGCTTCTTCTGCCTGTGCTGCACTACAAGGCATTTTCAAAGCCTCTTGAAGAGAATAGCGAAACCAGAACTGTGTATTGCGATTGTAACAGGCCAGAACAAGGCAAAATGGTACTGTGCGATAACCCTCAATGCAAAGCGCAAGTAATTTCATGAGAAATGCATTGGACTGAAAAGAGCTTCACGAAAACAGTGGCTTTGCAAGCACTGTAAATGAGAAAGGACTGTGTATTCTCTACGTAAAAATACGTAGAGAATACACAGTAAAGGGGGGGGGGGGCAGTAAACAGACGCGAAGAACCAAAAAAACAAACAAAAGAACAAATGCGCACCACCACCGCCGCCGCCGTGGTGCGCAAGCGTGGAAGTGTTCTTCCTTCCACCTAACACCACGGCAGGCTTGCAGCCCATAGACGCCGGCGTGATCGCCAACTTCAACAGAAGTTGGCGATCACGCCAACTTCTGTTGAATATGGACAACGCCTTCAATAGGAGGCGTTGTCCATATTCAACAGAAGCCTGGACAGGCTTCTGTTGAATGTGGAAAACGCTGCACAGGGAGGCCGGGAACCAGACATGAAAATAACACTACTGATGGCCGTGCAATTTATTTTCGGAGCGTGGTGTGGAGTACGTGCCTCCACGGTGCAAAACTGCTTCAGGGAGGCGGGCTTCGTTCGACGGTGTCACACGAGCGAAGCAGGCGAGGAGGAAGAGATGCCAGTAGAGGCCTGCGAAGCGCCCGACGATGAAGGGGTGCCGGAGTTGTGGTCGGCGCTTAACGAAGATGCATCGGGTCTGGACGACTCCCTTCATGCAGACGATATTGTGGAAACGTCCGAGTGCCTCAGTGATGAGGCGATCGTCGCGCGTGTACGTTCCGCGGACAGCGGTGACAGCGACGACTCTGACGATGCGGTTGAGGAGCCTACCCAGGTACTGTCATCACAGGAGGCCCAGCGGATGATACAGTCCCTCCGGGACATTGTTTTCGCAAAGAACCTCCCGCTAAGCTACGTGGAGCACCTAGATGCTCTAGAGAGATGCGTGCCAGCTTTGCGTGAAGCAATCAAAGCTGACAGACTATGGCTTTTCTGCAAACAAGTAGTTGCACTTGCACTACCTTACTTGCCTGCAAATAAAATTCTTTGATCTCTTTTGTCTTTTTTTTCTCAACCCGCTTATAACAATTATTGGTTACAACGATGGTATTTTCTTGGCATTTCGATATTGTTATAAGTGGACTAGACTGTGCTTGATTAAAGGCCCCTTCAGGTTGCACAGCCCTACACATAGAAAAACTATATAATTTGCAAGCTGGAGATTGCTGGTGCCAAGTAGCAAGCCACAGTAGGAGGTGGCCACCAAGGACGCAAAGATCAAGCGTCAGCAAGCCACCGACTACGATCGCCGCCATCAGGCTGGAAGACAGTACCTGCATCTGGGTTTGTTCAGGACAGGTAAAGGCTACTACTGTCCTCAGTCCAGTGCAACGTCCCAGGTCGTATGTGGTGAAAACTGATGAGAGAGCAATCTGGCAGTGCGATCGGAGAAACTTGCGAGCCTTTCAGGACAGGCAATGAAGACGTAACCGCAAGAGAAGAGGCCCAAGGACTGGGTTCTTCTCAAGAGCCGGCGGCACCTGCAGTGCAGGAACGGGCTTCACCTCGACAACCCCCTGCACCTGCAGCTCAAGGATCGGCTCAACCTCAACAGCCACCTTCGCCTACAAGTCATAACTTCCAGCGCAATGAACATGACTCCGGTACCACTCCTGTGCAAAGAACCAGGCGTGGCAGAGGGGTGGTGTGTCCCCGGAGGTTGAACCTTTAGTGCGATGCAGTGTGGTGTTTGGGTGCAGTACATTCTGTGGGGGGGGGGGGGAGACGTGGAGGGCACAACTCTCGTGTGTGATATGGCCGCAGGCAACCCTGTGCGGTCGCCAGGCCGCTTGGTATATTGTTGTTTTTTAGGAAAATAAATCCCTCTGGTTCTGGGCCCAATGGTCTCTACAATAATTAGTACTAATATAAACTAAGTCCGAATGTTAGTTTAATCCACTCCAATCCAATCTTTACTTACCCACGCCAGCTGGCCAGTGCTCTGGACCAAACCCACTAGACATTAGGGCTATCTCGACCATTGTGTCGATCATTGGTGTCAATATGTACTATGCGTGCAAGATTTATGTTGAAGGCACGAAAGGCAATAGTTAGCGTGAACCTAATAAAGAAGTTCAAACCGGCGAGTGTTGACAATTTTGAACCCGACGTGCTGAAAAGCGTCTACTGGAAGGCTAAACAAAAGGTTGGGTGCAAACGAGCTGGTGATGGTTAAACATTTGAGCATTAGAATCAACATGATGGTTAACCATTTAAGCATTGGAATCAACATCGATGAAAGAATGTCTTTTTTGGTTGATTCGTCTTTCAGGACTGCCCGTAGAAATTTTAGGAAAGTTTCTTCCGTGAAAAATTGGAATCGACATCGGTGGTTAAACATTTAAGCATTGGAATAAACATAGATGAAAAGTATGTCTTCCCTGGTTTATTCGTCTTTCAGGACTGACTGAAGGGATAATTGAAAGTCACTTCCGTGAAAAAAGAGTTAAAAGAAAAAGACATCATGCTTCTCGAAACCAACAAATGTGGAAAATTTGCTGTATTACCAATGAATGAGTTCCAAAAACAATCAGACTTAGCCATAGAGGAGTTGTTTAGGCAGTTTGATGGAAACCTTAGACAGATGAAGTGGCAAATTGTTAGTATAATAAAGAAGAGTGAATTTCCGTTCTTGGTTTCCAAAATGAATGTAACTTCAAGAGACACTTTTGGAATCAAGTTTTTCTTTAAGGACCATCAGGTGGACCTTTCTCTTCCAATTGTGGTAAATAAGAAAGGCAGTTGGCAAAAACTGGTGTCGTCCTTTCGTCAGAAGGCCCCGAGTGTTTTGGATGTCGGAAGTCCGTAAACCATTCGTTGCTCAGATGACTTGATGGCAGAATAACAGCCTTTTCATGAAAAGCATCGCACTCTATTCTCAATGGATATCAAACTTAGATTACTCGTTAGACCCTAAGACATTACTTG